TTCCTCAGTTCTGAGGAAGGGTCACCGGACCCGAAACGTTAACTTTGTTTTTTTCTTTACACACGCTACCAGACTTGCTGAGCTTTTCCAGCAACTTTGTTTTTGATCACTTTATATAAGTTGGTTTCTTCAGTTTTAAACATTGGATTATTTTTCTTGTTTTTGTAAATCCAGATTGCTTTCTTCTGTCTCTTCAAGGTGCACATTATTTGTAAGGAGGCGATATAGAAGCTGTTTATTCATCTATACAAACTTGAGGTCTCTTGTGGCACAATGGTGGTGCCCCTAACCACTGAACCAGAAGATCTAGGTTCAGGTGCCCAGAGATGTGTCATAACATGACTGAACAAGTTGCTTAAAAACATCTCCAAGCTTGTGAACCAAACACACTTGATGCATAGATAATTAGAACTGGCATAGAATGTTGTTCTAAGACAATATAAGCATTTCAACAGCATTTTAAAATGCATATTTTTTAAGAAAAGGAAAAAAGTAGACATAATTGGATTTCTGGGTTTGCAAACGTTTAGGTCTTGTGAGGCTAACGAAAAAAACAATTTTGGCAATTTAACAACTTAGCTGCAGCCCTGCAAAAAGTAAGCCATGACAAATTTATCTCAAAGGTATAAAATTTTACCAAGTTATAAAACTGAAGGAGAGGAAAGCGTAGATTCAGGGAAAACATTTTTTAAATATAGGTTCATGAATATGGGTGTTGCTAGATAGGTCAGCATTTATTGCTTATTCCTAATTACCCAGAGGGTAGTTAAGTCATTGCTATGGATCTGGAGTCATGTGTAGGACAGACCAGATCAGGATTGCAGATTTCCTTTCTTACAAGATGTTAGTGAACAGACGAGTTGTCATGTAGCTTTTGACGGTTGTTACATGGTCACTTTTAAGTTAGTTGCTTTTTTTTTTCCAGATCTGCTTAATTGAATTTAAATTTCATCATCTGTCTTGGTGAAATTCCCCAGAACATTACCCTGGGGTTCTGAATTATTAGCCCAGTGACATTATCAATGCGCCATCACCTGCCCAGCTACTTTGCTGTTTGCTTTCTGGCTCTCTGCTAAGTGATTAAAAGTACTAAGTGTACGTTTTGGAATGAGTTCTATTTAAATTTTAAATTAAAGTTTTAAATTAGAAAGATTGACGTTCATTATAACAGTACTCAGATTTCAGATCATGTTAAAAGGAAATGCTTTTCCCAGTTTTCAGTTAAAGAGCAATTTACATTTAATCTGTATGTAAGCAAAATATTAATGTGTCAGCTGTTTACATATTCATTGTAGCAGAAGTTCCCAAAACTGGTGGATGTGAAAAGGATATCCAAGAAAGGTGAGACAAAAAAGGTTTGGCTGAGGAAGCGAATCATCAGTGCCCAAAGTAAACTCAAAAGTCTTGATATCTTAAGTAAATTTAAGTTTAAATTCATGGAAAGGACATACAAAGGTGAACTCATAACATTGGGTCAGTTCAGCATTGCATCCATTGTTTGAATTCCCGCTGATTTTTAAAAGTGAATGTTGAGCCAATGACAGCTGCTTCTGTTGCACAATTACTACACAGCGGATTTGCTATTGTCTGTTTTTGTGCTATTAGCAAAGACTAATTTGACCCTGCTGTTCCTTAAAAAGAGAGGACAGATAGGAAATAAGTCTTTGAAACAGAGACTCAGAAAAACATTTGGAAATCTCTTGGCTATAATTTTTGATATTTGGCCCTCATTTTTATAATGTATTCAGATCACAGTTCTCACCAGTTTGAATAGTAACTTTGAATAGCAATTGGTGCTTGTTTATTTGAACATTTTTAAATCTATTTATGCCTTTATTTAGTTATGAACGATACTCTTATTTCATTGCTATGATTTTGAAAGCTAGGGCTCTGAGAAGACAACAATCAATGGATTAACTTGCATTGAATAAAATTCCTAAAAATACTTCTATTTTGCATCTTTTGAGAGAACAGTGTTGCTTTTGGCATACAAGTTTTCTGATTGTCTTTTGCTGATACTGCCTATTCTAATTTAATTCTGCCCTCAAATGTTGTTCATCCTGTTCAATCTTTGTCTCTTCTAGGTCACATGTATAAAGTCAATGTCCCAGTGATGGTAACACAAAGTGCTGCAGGCCAGAAATATTTCCAGCAGCCTGTTCGTCATTTCATTCATCAAGTAAATCCAGTTACAGGGCAGACAGCTCTCTTCCAACAAAACTCAGTTTCTAGTCAAACACATGCCATTCAGCAGTCTTCGCAAGACCAAGCACCCACACTCCAACAATCCAACTCAGGTCAAGTTTCCACACATCAGCAATTGCTGACAAACCAATCTTTTGATGTAACTAATCAATCTATTCTGCAACAGCCTGGCATATCGAGACACGTATACATTCAGCAACAGGGCACAATGAAACAGGTGGTTTTACAACATTCTGGGATGGGGGTACAGACAGGGCCACCTATTGTTATTCAGAGACAGTCCATAGCAAACACAGGAACACTAGGACAACATGTACTATCCACACAGCCAACTCAACTGGAACAGTCTGTGGAAGAACAAGTGACCACAGGCCAGACTCAGCATCTGTTAATTCAAGATTCAGACAGTGCTCCTCTAGCACATACGCTTATTGTACAAAATCAAGCATCTGAACAAAGTGAAAGAACAAAAATACCGCAGTGTGTTTCTGAGCGGTGTGTAGTCCAACAGTTTACACCCCAGGTAAGCGATATTAGAAAAATGAACACTGAAAAATATTAATATGCAGATTTGAAAATTTTACGTCAATAAAATACAGCATCTGACAATATGAAGTTGAGAAGCAGAGACATAAAGGATTGTTCTGATGTGAATTATACTGTGTCTTATCTGCTTAAAAATACAAACTGAGTGGAGTATTGAAAACAGTAAAAAGGTCGCTAATTATTTCACATTATCTGGCATGTGGATTTACTATGTTTCTCATGAGAGGAGCAACTAGGAACATCGTTAATCCACTGCTTTTGAACCAATCTTGAGTGCGCCAGAAATGCCAAGGAAAGGGTGGTAGAGGCAAGAACCACTTCAACATTTAAGAAGCATTTGGATGAACACTTGAAATGCCATATACACAGGGCTGCTGTCAAAATTTTAGGAAATGGTAAAAGTGTATAGGTGCTTGTGAAGGTCTGCTAGCTGAAGGATAGATATGGTTGTCAGAGGCCCAACCATCTTTAGCTGCTTCATCAATGACCTTCCCTCCATCATAAGGTCAGAAGCGGGGATGTTTATTGATGATTGCATAATGTTCAGCATCATTTGCAAATCATTAAATACTGAAACAGTCAATTTCCAAATGCAGCAAGACCTGGACAGTATCCAGGTTTAGGCTGACAAATGGCGAGTAGCATTTGTACCACACACATTTGTACCATACACAAAAACTGTGGCTAGAAGAATAAGCTAGAAATATTGCAGTGAGTACCTGACCACCACCTACAAGGTGCAAGTCAAGAGTGTGATGGAATATTTACCACTTGCCTGGATGAGGGCAGCTGCACCAACTCACAGGACAAAGCAGCCCACTTGATTGGCACCAGATCCATTCCATCCACCACCAACACTCAGCAGTAACAATGTGTACCATCTACAAAATGCACAATAGGAATTCATCAAAGATCTTTAGACAACACCTTCCAAACCCATGGCCACTATATCTAGAAGAATGAGGGCATTGGATATATGGGAGGACTACCACCTGCAAGCTCCACTCCAAACCACTCATTATCATGACTTGGAAATATATCACCGTTCCTTCAGTGTAGCAGGGTCAAAATCCTAGAATTCCATGCCCAATGACAATGTGGTTCTACCTACAGCATATGGACTGCAGTGATTCAAGGAGGCAGCTCACCACTGCCTGCTTGAGGGCAATTAAGGATGGGCAATATCTCCTGTCCAGAGAGTGACATCCATATCCAGTAAATGAATTGTTATGGAAAATGCTAGAATCTATTGTTAAGAATGTGACACCAGGACACTTTGCAAATAATGTTAGGATTGGGCAAAGTCGACATGGATTTATGAAAGAGAAATCAGGTTTGATGAAGTGTTTGAAGTTTTTTTGAGGATGCCCCTAGCAGAATAGATAAGTGGGGAACCAGAGGATATAATGTATTTGGATCATCAAAAGCATTTGCTGAGGTTCGACAGGAGATTAGTAACTAAAATTAGAACACTTGGTCTGGATTGAGGATTGGAAAATGGAAGGAATGGATTTGTCATTCTGATGTTAGCAGGCTGTGAATAGTGAGGTGCTGTGAATAGTGAGGTGCTGCAAGGATCAGTACTTGGCCCTCAACTATTCATAACCTTTATCAATGATTTGGATATAGGGACTAAATGTCATATTTCCTAATTTACTGATGAAATAAAGCTAGCTGGTACTGTCAATTGTTAGGAGGATGCAAAGAGGGCTTCAAGTAAAGAATATGGCACATGGAAATGTGAAGTTACCCACTTTGGTAGGAAAATTACAAAGGCGAAGTATTTTTGAAATGACAAGAGATTGGGAAGTGTTGATGTCCAAAGGTACTTGGGTGTCCTTTTCATAAGTCACTTGAAAGCTAACAAGCCAAGAGGAATACAAGTTGTATGTTGCCTTAACAATACAGGAGTACTGGATTTTAAAAAAATCTTGCTGCAATTCTTTAGATCCTTAGTGGGACCACACCTGGAGTTCGATGTTCAGTCTTTGGTCTCCTTCTATGAAGAATGATATAATTGAAATACAGTGAGTTCAACAAAGGTTCACCAGAAGACTAACCCCTGGAATGGTGGGATTCTCCTTTGAGGAGATTGGATCTATATTCTCTAGAGTTTTGAAAAATCAGTGGTAATCTCATTGTAGCATGCAATATTCTTAGAGGACTTGATAAGAGAGATAAGGGAAAGATGTTTCCTCTGATTCAGGCGTCTAGAACCGGGGAAACAGTGATAAAGAGGTATTTCTTCACTTAGAGAGTGATGAATCTTTATCCCAAAGGACTGTGGAGACTCAGTCATTTAGTATATTCAAGCCTGAAATCAGTTGTTTTCCAGACATTAAGGGTGTCAAGGGGGTTTGAATGGCATGGGGAAAATGGCATTGAAGTAGAAGATCAGCAGTGAGCCAGTTAAATGGCAGAGGAGATCATTGGACTGAATGACTTAGTCATACTCCTCTTAATCACAATCTTCCTATGAGTCAAAAGGGAAAATGTTCAGTAAAAGAACAGGTTCAATCAACCACAGTAGGTTTGAGGTGGTCAGGGACTGTTTGGACCTTTTTAAAGGAAGAAATTGCTATCCTGGTGCAGGATAGGTTTCTAATGTGACTGGATGTCCACTGCAAAAAGAGACAGTTGAGATCAAGAAACTTTAAAGTGGAAGAGTGTGTCAGAAAAGTTCCAGCAGAAACTGGACCCAAAAGAAAATGTGGAAAGAAATGTAGAATAAGGTAGGAAAAAAACAAGGTTTGAGTGAAGATTTATAGCTCGGGTGCTGGTTATAGGTTTTGGTGTATTTGCCAAGGTGGGAGGTTTGATAGCAGACATTTCGTCCCTTACTAGGTGACATCCTCAGTGCTGCGGAGCCTCCTGTGAAGGGCTGTTGTCTTGTGCCAGTCTGAATTTATATGGGACAACAAGGTGCAGGGCTGGATGAACACAGCAGGCCGAGCAGAGAGGCTGACGTTTCGGGCCTAGAGTCTGGTTTTTGCTGCTTCCAGTAAGTGCTGGTTCCAGCTGTGCATTGTAATGGTTGGTATATAACCAGGACACCCCAAAACCCGAAACAATAACTACCATACCATATATTAAAAAAAAAACCTCAGAACTGACAGCCAGACCACTCAGACCGCTAGGAATCATATCAGCACACAAACCAACAGCAACTGACCAGGGTTAAAGACCCAATAGATACCATGGACAGGACAAGTGTGGTTTACAAAATACCATGCAGAGACTGCACAATACGCTATGTGGGACAAACAGGCAGACAACTAGCAACCTGCACCCACGAACACCAGCTAGCAACTAAACGACACGACCAGATGTCCTTGGTTTCAATACACATGGACAAGAAAAACCACGCTTTCAACTGGGACAACACAACTATCATTGGACAAGCCAAACAGAGGACAGCCAGGGAATCCTTGGAGGCTTGGCATTCATCCGCGGACTCCATCAACAAACACATTGAATTAGACCCGATAAAGTGACCATTACAATGTACAGCCAGAACCAGCACCTACCGGAAGCAGCAAAAACCAGACCATATAAATTCAAACTGGCACAAGGCAACAGCGCTTCACAGGAGGCTCCACAGCACTGAGGATGTCACCTAGTAAGGGGATGAAACATCTGCTATCAAGTCTCCCAGCTCGGCGAACACATCAACATCTGTAGGAAGAAACAAGTTCTCTGAGGTTAAAACAGTGAAGCGACCAGGGAAGTCATACAAGTGGACCTTAGAAAAGAGATAGATGCAGGCTCTGGAGTTTTAGGCTTGGAGTTCATTGATGGAGTTTCTGGGAAGGAGAGGGGAAGATCTCCGTAGGAGCTGATGTCAGTGACCATTTGGGAAATTATAGTCTGATGATTGGTGATGGAGTCATGGTTGAAAGTGAAGTGTCAGAATTGGCATCTAGCATCTGCAAGATGAAGGTCTATTGCCAAACAGCAACAGCAGGTTAAATGAGCAGAACTGCAGTAATTTACAGGTTTTTGTAAATTCTTAAGTTACCATTTTGCTAATTTTCTTCAGAGTTTGCCACAAAGGTTTTGTGTTCACCTTCTGAAACTTCCACAATAGATGTAGGTCTAGAAATGATCCAAATCTGTGGAAACAATTCCTCTTTTTTTCCTCCCCCAAATAAAATGTGTATTTGAATGTATCACCTTAATGGAGTAACTTTTACAGTCAAGTATTTGTGTTCAAACTTGCACAAGGATACATTCAAGTAACCTTAAACCAGACTGGACTTGCTTTACAAGTTGGCTATTATTTTGTTTTGGTGAATTAAATTTTGATTTTACTGTTTAGGTGAATGAGACATTGTTGATGGTTGCTGCCACCTCTGAGGAACAACCAACCAAAGTTGAAGAGTCATCCATCCCACAGTTAGATGGAACTAATGATACATCTTCTGATGAAGAAATTGGTAACCTGCGGGAAGTGGAAGAAAATGATATACTTGGGATTATTGATGCTGAAGATCTTAAAGCACTTGAAGGTTATGATGAAGACGATAGTTCCAGCCCCGACACTTCCAGTGATGGCTCTGATGAAGAACCTAAAGAAGAAATTATAGAAGAAGTAATTATGTAAAATATTTTGATTATTTATTTTAGTTCCTATTAAGATGACTAATCACATAATTGTAATAAGTATAAGATGTGGGAGCAGAAGTAGATCTTTCAACCCGTAGAGTTTGCTTCAGCATTCAATGAAATTATGGCTGATCTAATAATCCTCAACTTCCCTTTCCTGTCTTACCTGCACAACCCTTTATTCCATTACTGGTTAAAAATCTATCATCTCAGCCTTGAATGCACTTAACAATACAATCTCTACAACTGTCAGCAGTTTTAAAAAAAAAAAATCCACAGATTCACTACCTCAGAAGAAATTCCTCACCTGTTTTAAATGGGTGACCCTTACTCTGAGATTATGCCTTTGACTCTCAGAAATGGAAACAACCTGTCAACAGTACCCTAGTAATTTTGTAGGTTTTAATAAGGTCACCTCTCATTCTTCTGAACTCCAGTGAGTACAGATCCAGCCTCTCATAAGAAAATTCCTCTATGCTGAAGAACAACCTAGTGAACCTCTGGACTGCCTCCAATGCAAGTTTGCCTTTCCATAGATAAGGACACCAAAACTGTTCATAGTATTCCAACTGTGGTCTAACTTGCACCTTGTATCGTTTTAGAAAGATCTCCCTACTTTTCATTCTATTCTTTTCAAAATAAAGGCCAACATCCTATTTGCCTCTCCTAATAACTACTGAATTTGTATTATAGCTTTTTGTAATTTGTGCATGAGGACTTCAAAAAGGCTGGAATGCCCTCCCAAATGGCACATGAGTCTACCTATAGCACATAGACTGCAAAAGTTCAACAAGACAGCTCCCTACCACCTTCTGAAGGGCAACTAAGGACAAGCAATAAATACTGGCTCAGCCAGTGACATCCTCATTCTGTGAATGAGCATACTTTAGACATACATAGGTTCTTGGTCAGTTTGGGGCTAAGAGTTACAGGTAGATGGCAGGAGAATGGGGTTGAGAAACACATCAGCCATGATCAATTGGCGGAGTAGACTCAATGGGCTGCATGGACTTATGGTCTTTTCCTGAATATAACAATTCTTCGAAGAGTGCTACCAGCACACCCACTATCTCTGAAGTTACTTCCTTTAACATCCTGGGATGCATCTCATCAGGCTCAGGATTTCTTTTGCCTTTAGCTCTGTTAGTTTATCTAGTATATTTTCTCCAATGATTATTATTATGTTTATTTCCTCCTCTTCCTCCCCTACAGCCCCCCAATTCCAGTTGATTATTTAGTATTCTTGGAATGCTGTTAATGGCTTCCGTGTAAGAGACTGATGTATGAAGTATTTGTTCAACCGCTCTGCCATTTTTTGTTTCCCCGTTATTATTTTCCCAGCCTCATTCTCTAAGGAAACTGTGTTCATTTTGGCCACTCTTTTTATATATTTAAAGAAGCTCTTACTCTCCGTTTTTACGGGACTTGACAGTTTCCACTTGTTCATTTTCTCCCAATTTATGTTTTGGTCATCTTTTGGTTCTTAAAACTTTTCCAAGCTTAAGCGCTTTTTCCCACATTACATTTTTTCTTTCAATTTGATACTATCAAGAACTTTCTTGATTAACCATGATTGGGGATGCAATGACCTATTAGTATTATCACTGGACTATTAATCCAGAAACTCAGCTAATGTTCTGGGGACCTGGATTCAAACGCAGCCATGGCAGATGGTGGAATTTGAATTCAATAGAAATCTGGTATTAAAAATTTAATGATGACCATGAAACCATTGTCGATTGTCAGAAAAACCCATCTGGTTCGCTAATGTCTTTTAGGTAAAGAAACTGCCATTGTTACCTGGTCTGGCCTACATGTGACTCCAGACCCACAGCAATGTGGTTGACTGTTAACTGCTCTCTGAGCAATTAGAGACGGGCAATAAATGCTGGTCCAGCCAGTGACGTCCTCATCCCGTGAATAAATAACCCTAACCTTAACCCTAACTTATCCTATTCCCGAGAATCCTTCTTCCTCACTGAGATATATTTTTATTGTAAGTCATGACCTATTTTTAAAATATCTGTCATTTTTCATCAAATGTTTTTTCTACTAAACTCCTTTCCCAGTCCACTGCAGCCAACTCTGCCCTCATTCCTTTGTAATGACCCTTATTTAAGTTTAGCACTGTTGTTTCTGACCCAAGTTTTTCACTTTCAAACTTGGTGCTGTGTCATGGTCACTGTTTCCTATGGAATCTTTTATTCAGAGATCATTTACACATTATCAGAACCAAAATAATGTGATCCCTGGTTCATCCCTGGGCGATGCAGTCCTAATACAAGTAAACATCTGACTCTATCCAGATTCATGTACGTGCTAAAAATTCTCATCTGTATTGGATTTTTTCAGTGGAACAGTAGTTCTGTTGAGCGGTCTGAGTACATTGCTTTTACTGGAATTGACTCTTAACATGCTGTATCTCAGTATATTGGCTATGCAAGTAGTACCTAATCACTGATAAAAGCTGTGCTAAGATGAGCTGTTTTATTTTAGTGACAGATCTCTCTCTCTCTTGTTGATTACCTCAGTTTTCTTTGCTTATAGTTTTCCATGCTGTACTCTATCCTCTTTCTCCTGTCCTGAAGGAATTGACTCATTACTAGAGCACAGTTCAAAAGGTGCTCACCCAAGCAGTGATCATTCATATTTAAGTCTTGACTGTATCAATAGACCATTTGCCTGTGAAAGGAGAGCATTGATGTCATATAGCCTTGTCACTTGCTGATGCCCAGGGATGACCGAGTATGCATGAGGAGTTGGGAATTTGCATGTTTCCAAAGTAGCGAAGCAGAGGTGCTTTCTAAAATCAACTACAGGAGCAAGGTTGTCTTACAGCAATTGTATAGGGCTTTGGTGAGAACACTCCTGGAGTATTGTGTGCAATATTGTTCTCTTTGTCTGAGAAAAGAACATTATGGCGACAGAGCGAGTGCAACAAAGGTTTACAAGACTAAGTCCTGAGGTGGCAGGAGAGACGTATGATGAGAGATTGGATCAGTTAGGACTATGTTCACCAGAATTTAGAAGAATAGTGGTGAATCCCATAGAAATCTATAAAATTCTAACGGAACTAGACAGGGTAAAGACAGAAAGGATGTTTCCAATGACCAGGGATCCGCAGAAGCAGGCATTACAGTTTAACAATTCAGCGTAGGCCTTTTAGGATTGAGCTGAGGAGAAATTTCTTCACCCAAAGTGATGAACTTGTGGAATTCTCTACAACAGAACGGTTGAGACAATACATTGAATGTTTTCATGAAAGAGTTCGATAATAGTGCTTCGGTATAAAGAGATTAAAAGGTGTGGGGAGAAAGTAAGGGTACTGAGTTGGAAGATCAGCCACGATCACGCTGAATTTCAGTGCAGGCTTGAAGTGTCGAAAGGCAGTAGTCCTCCTATTTTATATATTTCTGTGTTTCAATCACTGCCTGTGCAATCAAGACAGATCAACAATTGAACCTGAGAATGTTTTGGTATTATTTTTCTGACAGTTCAAAAGTTATGACACCTTGGTTTCCCTCTTGCATTCAAATCTAGACCGGATTTCGCAAGCATCTGAAAATGATAAAATGTAACAAAATATTGCATTAAATATTACAAAGAGAAATTGCCTGTGTTTTGGCCTTTTGAATGAAGGGCAAATTGTTCCAAGTTTTTGGAGCCCTAAAACCTAATGAGAAACATTGCCTGCTGACATAGGATAAATGGAAAATTCAAAAAATCACTAGTGGAGGCAATTCTACATCTGTGTAGTTGGACATACATTCTACTGGTACTGAAAGATTTCCATTTTGTTTAGCCCAGTTTTTGGAAACCTTAAATGAAAGTATGGTAAAAATGTTTATTTTGACGTTTGTTCTGGTGCAGATCCTCATCTCATTTTCAGCAAATTAAGAGGATAAATTTAGAGTTAATGCTGGCACAGAAGCTTTAACATATTGCAACTTCTAAAGTATATTTTGTGTGACTCGGCAGATCTTACAGGTCTGGTAGATATTATCTCCGTGTCTCCAATAGCAGTAAAGGTCTGTTCAAATTAAGAATATTTATTAGATAAAATTTCAAATTGATTAGGTATTCTGGTCTGAAGCACACTTCTGAAGCATAATGTGTGAATTTATAAAGCCAATCCCTTGATATGTGATAATAACTGGGTTGATAGCTGATGATTAGTTCTTTATATAACTTGTAAAGCTGAAGTGTTAATTCAGAAAAATGAATTTGTTCATGCAGGCAGTAAATTAAAAAGTGTTCTTAGTCCAAAATATCAATATTTCCTTTGTAGGTAATGTATTGATTTTTGCCAATCGTTCAGACCAAATCTGGTCTTTATTTGAGACTTTTGGCTACTGAAGAGGTTTTGATTCCCCGATGACATTTTGCTACATGATCCATATAAACTTAATAATCTTCCAGTTATTTTATAAATAAATACTCTATACTTGCCTTGCCTCCTCTGCTCAAATCTCTCAACATTGTGAATCTGTCTGGTCAATTTTTTTTTAGAATAATGAGTTATGTGAAGCAAATATGCAAGCCACACAGATGGTGTTTTTTGAAGAATTAAACATTAGCTGGATCTTTGGAAAAATGAGTTGGGAAAATTCTGCAGCTCCTGGCCTCGAACAAAACCCCAAAGACTGAGTTTTATTGATTCACAAAATGATGACTTTTTTAAAATTATTCAGAATATGTGCAATGAGTTCTTGCATGGTTCTGACTGGAATTCATTAACAACATCTTGTTGCATAATTCGTTTTTACCCTTCCTTGTCTGTTTCAATAATCTAATTAACCAGAGTAAACATTATTGCCATGAGTGACAGTCATATGCTTGATTTAAAATAAAGGCCTATAAGTTGTGAAGCCACTTGGGTAAATCAATTTTCTAAACTATAGAATTGCCTAATGTTTTGTTGCATTATGAGAAATGGCACGGGGCACTTGGTTTTATATTTGGTGTACAATCTTTTTATTGGGAAATTTGCCTGTGCTGTCAAAACACTTAGTGTAGATTGTTAGATAGATTGAGAAGAATACAAGAGGAAAAGCTAAGTTGGAAGCACTGATGTAGTGAGGTCAGGCTCTTGTTTAAAAAGTTAAGGATTCTAGGGGAAAGTATGGATGAAGTTGGATTATGAGAAAGAATTGCAATAGTTAAGATTGCTACATCTATGACCTTGAAGTGAGGAGGAAATTAGTTAAAGCAGAAGATTTGTAAATTATTTCAAAAATGTAGAGTTGATGAAACTTTTTTGCAATTTAGAAAAACAAAGAGAGAACTAGAAGGAATGCTTCCCATAAATGATGTTTAATTTTCAGAACATTGCTCACATAAGTTTTCTATTGTACTGTTTCCAAAGATGTATTCTGTACAACACACCATCATTGCTTGTCAGATTAGGTCAGTTCTGCTCTTTTTATATGACCAAAGCTCCTCAGTAAATATGTTGCTTTGTATCTTTTGCCCAAAGGTTGAGGACATATTGTTGTTTTCATGAGATATATGTCTTCAAGTTTTATGTGTTTTTGTGGTACCTCTATTAGTCAAAATAAAATGTAACCTCTGTCAGATTTGCTTGAAATTCTCAGCCAAAACCATAAGAGGATGTTTTGATTTGTTACTGGCACGAATCCCAGGAGACAGAGTAACTGTACATTAAATCTTATATTTGAGGTGATATAAGTAAATGTAAAGTTTGCTTTCATAAAAAGATAATGAAGTGTTCATCAGGACCAATTTCTTCAGCAACAGTCAGTGCTGGACATGGCAGTTTCAGCAGTGCCCACCACTGAACAAGCGTCTCCATTTGGAAACAGTAAAGACTGCAGATGCTGGAAGCCAGAGTCAAAAGATGTGGAGCTGGAAAAGCACAGCAAGTCAGACGGCAGCTGAGGAGCAGGAAAGTCAATGTTTCAGGCCCAAACCCTTCGTCAAGAATGGGGAGAGAGGGGAGAGAGTGGAGAGCCCAGAAGTAAATAGAGGGAGGGAGGGGGTTGGGGCTGGGGGAAGGGTAGGTAGGATGGTGATAAATGGATGCAGGTAGAACCCTATTGTGATTGGTCAGTGGGGAGGGTGCAGCGGATAGGTGATAGGAAGACGGACAAGTTAGGTTAGGTCAGGTCAGGGAAGTGAGGAAGAGGCAGAGGGCTGGACATGGGATAAGGCTGGGGATGGAGGGATTTTGAAGCTGGTAAAGTCAATATTGAGGCCATTGGGCTGTAAGCTCCCAAGGCGAAATATCAGGTGTTGTTCCTCCAGTTTATGTTTGGCCTCACTCTGACAGTGGAGGAGGCCAAGGATGGACATGTCACCACAGAAGTGGGAGGAGGAATTAAAATAGATAGCAACTGGAAGGTTGGGTTGGTTGGTGTGTACAGAGCACAGATGCTCTGTGAACCGGTCCCCGAGTCTGCATTTGGTCTCTGAAAGAGACGTCTTGTTATAATCTTTAAAGTGTCTCCATTAGTGCTTTATCATAGCTAATATTAACAGAGAAATTTTTAGCATCAGCAGTGATGGATGGACAGCTTTGCTTTCACAAACTGACCTTTTTCTTTGAGCTATTCTTTAGCAGTCAACTTGATACCGTTAACAATACAAGCAAGAATTTCCTGCCTATGATATCACTTGGCAGGAATTGTGCCTATTGCAGCATTATCTTTGCTGTTGTTCTTGGTCTGTTACCAGCCCTGTGTCTTATTCTTTTGCAGTATTGTACTTTGCTCCTTTTCTCATACTCATGGGGAGAATGCACCTGCCTACATTTTTCTCGTGACTGCTTTGCCTTTTTTCCTTCTTCCCCTGTATTTTACTAGTCAAGGCATCCAATGCCATCAACACAGCCATAAAACTGTGAATCTGCACGTCCACAGTAGTACCAACTGCAGTCTGTGCCAGTGAAACATGGAAAAGAAGTGCATAGGTGTTACAAGTGGAGGTCTTCCATCACTATTGTCTACCAAAAGTCCTGAGCATTACTTGAAGAGACAACATCAATGAAGAAGTGCTGCAGAGGAATGGTCAGAAGTATCTATGGAACATTATAACAGAAAGGCAAATGAGGGTGGAAGGACATATATTAAACCCACTGGACCTTGACCACTGCCAGATGGAAAAAGAAGGATGGGATGGACAAAGAAAATCTGGTGTTGTATATTCACGGAGGACATTCAGGAGCAGAATACCACATTGACTGGACCAAAAGAGATTGCAATGGATCCAGATCGGTGGCAGAGGCTTTCTGCCTACCGTACAGGACCAGAGGGACTAAGTTGAACTAAATGTGTTCTACTGGTGTATTATAATTGGACGTTTAGCAGATGTTTAGCATTCCAATGCGAAGACTGTAGTGATTAAAGAAAGTAGTGAACTGCCATCATCTTGAGAGTAATTAAAGATGAGAAATAAATGCTGGCCTTTAAAGAAAGTTTGAATCCCAGAAATACTCAAAAGATGAGTTGGTCACCTGCATTTATTAGCCATTTTTGACAAGGGGAAAGAGGTTGATAACATAAGTACTGCTAAGCACAATAGAAATAAACCTTAACAGGCATGGAATTTTCAGATTTAGCATTATTTGTTCAAGGTGTTCTCATTATTGTATTAACTCCAAACTCACTGAATGCATACTTCTGTATAACTTATCTTTACTTGCACTGGGTTAGATCTTTATCAGAGAATCAGCTATTTAACCTGTTGAGATTGCTGAAAAGCTTTAGCATGTGCATAAATATAATGTGGAGGTGCTGGTGTTGGACTGGGGTGGACAAGGTCAAAAGTCACATGACACAGGTTATAGTCCAACAGATTTATTTGAAATCTCAAGCTTTCGGAGCTCCAAAAGCTTGTGATTTCAAATAAACCTGTTGGACTATAACTTTTGATCTTGTATAAATATAGGGGGATGACCTTATTGATATATATGGTTTTAACGCCTTATTATTTGCCCCCTCAGATTGATAGGAAGTAACACATGGTAGTTTGAGTTTAGTTGCTCAACAAGTGTTACTGTATAAGGGATCTCTCGCTTGAGTTCATTTCTTTTGCTTAAATAAGCTGTCTCAAAACTGAGATGGATTATTGAAATGGTCAATGATTCCATTCATGAGGAAAGAAACACTTCTGTTTCAGCTCCATATGTAGTATTCCTGATACTGGAAACAGGATCTGTTCTCTGTACCTTCTGAAGCTTTTCTTGAAGAGAAAGAGACTTTCATTTAAATCTTGAAATTGTTATGCTTTTAATGATCTTGTGGGCCAGAGCTTGACTGTCCTCATGAGATTAGCCTGTTTTGTGTCATTGAACATTAAAGTATTGTGACCTCAATTTCCTTGCAACTTGCTAAAGAGACTTACTGATTTCTACAAGTCAAATGAAGAGTAGTAAAATACTGAAAATTTTCCAATGCAACCATTACTTTGTAAAATTCTAAACCTGCATTTTCAGCACATTTAGTATAGTTGGTATTGCTCTGAGTCTTTTCTTTTTTGTTTCTCTCAACTGTCATTAATCTTTAATATTTAATACATGTTCATATGTTTATTTTGATATTTTAGAAGCTTTGCAACCCTGGCCACTTTCAGTTTTACCTTGTCCTCCTTTCTTCCCAACATCAGATTGCTAACCACACCTCATAATTCATTGGCAGTAAAGCATTGTGGGTTATGAAAGATACTACAGTAATACATTTCCTTTCCTTTATCTTTTTTCAGTCTTGGTTGTTATTTTGTGCACTTTGGTTCTTCAATTATCTTCTTTTTCAGTTTTATATATAAAACTTGCAAAAGTGTTATTGGTTATTAATTCTTTGGTAGTTAATGGCAGATAAATTAATCTGAATGCAATGTATTTGCAGGATCCTTTGAATTCAGGAGATGATGTCAGTGAACAGGAGGTACCTGATCTGTTTGATACAGAAAATGTAATTGTTTGCCAATATGACAAGGTAAGTACTTTTGTGTTAGTACATTCAAGCAAACACGTATTGATATTTTTCTTTCAAATTGCTGTGTTTTTGTTTTAAAAGTTTTCCATAACCAGGTCACTTAAAGATGTGCAGATTAATGCAGCAATTGTTTTCAATTCCCTACTGTTGTGTTTTTGCTATGGAATGGTGGAAGAAAAAGCTAAATATTTAACCATATGCCAATGTAAAGTTGGAAAGAAGTACATATCTGGCTGTCTTTCTACCTGTCAGGTCAGATGTAGAAACCTAGTAAGCAGGGTGCATGTTTGGCTCATCACAGGCCACAAGATCTATATATCTCAGAAAAAATGAGAGTAAAATGCAAATGTTAAAAATTGAAACAGTGTTAGAAAAAGAAAGCAGCGTTATTGTATGTTTGGAGCTTTTTTTTCTCCGTTCCAGTACAATTTATAATTAGGTATGTGGTATACTTTTGATTAAAAATTTAAAAGTTCTGATATCTGTTCTACATGGCTTAGTTTAAAGAGCTAAATGATCACAGTTCACTTAGAAAATTCCAGGAATGCAGAAAAGGTTAGTAGTGCAGAGTCTTGTCTGTGCAGGTGGTGTTCTGTATTATAAATTATTTGAAGCTGTAGGTTTCGAAATGGGCGAGTGCCACTTGGCTTTTACTTTTCTTTCCATTTTAGGATGTATTTAACACTTCCCCAAAGAAAAATGAAGATTCTTTACTCCTTCCTCCCACCCTTCTTGTCAAAAAAGATCTTCTACATCAGCAATTTATATTTACTTAGTCCTGTCAATGTACAGCGGGGGGGAAAGAAAAAGTGTCAGTTAGGTGTCAGACTCCAAGTGAGAAATTATGAAAAGTGGTCAGATATATGATTGCAAAGGCAGATCTTGAACAAGGTCAGAAAGATAAAGCAAGGTAGAGTATTTGAGGCAATTCCAGAGTACAGTATGAAATTTGTTTGAACAGTTCAATGCTTACTTGTCTGAAAATAGATAACATCTTATAATTGCTTCCCAACTAACCAGTAAAACTGTCGAGTTCATAAGATTTGGATAATGGGATGAATAGCAATGAAAGGAATGGAATTAGTCATTGCTACTTAAGCAGAGGTTCTAACCATTCAAAGGTAGTGGCCTGATTGTGAATGGATAGTACACCGATGGTTTCTAGCTATCTCTGTCATTATTTTCGTTATTAGAAATTTGTCTGAACTTCCTTGTAATTAATTAAATCTTGCTGTCATAAATTGCAACTTTCAAACTGCAGGTTCTGTAATTTTAAGTGACTAATTACAATAAGGTGAATAAAAGTGTTCTCTTTTGGGTGGGAGGAATGTTTGGTTGGTGCTTACAAAATAGTTCAATGGGTGCATCAAATTAGAACTCAAAGCAACACTGCTGATATTAGAATGATACTTGTATTATGAAATCATAAAATAGTTGTATGAATTAATAAAGGAGTCATATGGATAATGTATTGATTCAAAATATCGTCCTGTTGACTTTCTGATGTCTGGTTCGTATACAAAGTAGTGATAGATCATTTCAATAAGAATCAATAAATGGAAGAAACAGCCTGTCAACATACATGGCTAATGTGCCACAGTACATTGTACTAGTTCTGTTTATGATACTCACTTGACTTCACTGTGATCATGAAATGGCAGCACCTTTACATAATTATATTAATTAGTTAATTGCAAGAATCAGATTTTGTAATGTTGGGTCACTGTGGCAATGACTTTTCTTGCTACTGAAATGATAACCTAGATTATGCATTTAAGGCTTGAGTTTTATTCCACTGTAAATGCAGGAATACTGTCACTGAATCAATTTCATAGTAACTAAGGGCATTGCAGAAGGAGCAGTTTGGTCTGAATTTTCGCTCCTGTATTGGGGGCTCGGCATCAGGAAGATCCCTAGCTCCACAAACTTGACTCCGGAGAAAGAGTGCTGGGTGGTCTAACTTCCCTCCCAATATAGGGGTGCTAATGAAATGCAAGTGCTCCACTGCTAGAAAAAATTTGGAGTCCATTTGGGCTGCTGGGTGTACAAGTAGGCAGTCTGAAAGACTGTTGTTAGTGTTCTAGTACTTTCCCCAGTTGTGAAAACCAAACAAAACAGAATCAGCACTCGGCTTTCATATATTCACCATGCCTCATCCATACCATCTCAAGTACCATACTCAACCCTCATTGCTACTCATACCCTTCATGACACCTCGTGCCCTCCACCCACTAACCCCGATAGCCTTTCATACTGTTCATATTAAGCTAGGCCCCACTTTCCATTGCCAGCAGCCCCTTACACTCCTTCCATGCCATGTTATGTCCCTCCACAACGCACTCCATGCCAATATATGCCCTGCCACCCACCACTATAATCCATTATAGCCCTTAGGGCAACTTAATGCCATCCCATGTCCTGCACCCACTACCATTTGTCCGTGATCCTTCCATGCTAACTCAGAGTGCCCACAATAGGCAGACTCAGGACCCACGTTGAGATTAAATAAATAAATAGTCGAAAGTGTCTACTCACGACTTCACAATGTTTTTAAAAAAGTCTCAATGCTGTGATTAACTTCCTTCAGTTTAATGTAGAAAGAAATATTCATAGCTCCACACGGCAGAATTATGGTGCAGAGGAGGCCTTTCTGCCCATTGTGCCTGATGGAATGCTCCATCTCCGTTTTTGATTATTTTTAACCAATCTGTTCAGAGTGTTATGGTAAACCTCTAGAGCAGGTGGAACTTGAACCTGGGCCCCCGACCCAAAAGTAAGGAACATTACTATTGCGCCATAAAATACACATCAAGAGCTCAGCTGTCAATAAAAGTATGATAATGATAGGCTTTTAAATCAGCCATGCAGCACAAATCGAATAATGATAGACCTTGAGCTAATGCCAGCAGAATGAAATAGCAAGCACTGATTTTTTTTAAACTGCAGACTGTTTCTTTTAACTGAAGGGCAAGAGATTTAATGCGTTTGACAGTTCCAGCTAGTTTATCCAGTCTTTATCCACATTCATATCTACCTTTATCAATCACAAAAGGCACCTTACCTCTCCCCAAGGTGCCACAGACCGATCCAGAAGAGAGTTTTAGTGTTCCAAAAGCCTATTTAATTTAGAAAAACTCCAGTACATTTAGAACTTATTTTGAAAAGTTATTTTTTGGGTATCCCCTCTGAGAACCATGGATCTGGAAGGTACAACCAGTCCCTGTTTCTTCTTCTCCAACAAAAATTACAGGTAGTGGATTTAGAGGCAGGACATTTAGAAAGTGGTCTCCAGTGCCATTTTGGCACTTTGGAGACCTACTCCACTGTTGTGAAAAGTCAGGTTTTTTTCTGGCCAGCATGGCGGGGGGAGAAGACTTACTTAGTGGCATCATTCTGTAAGACAAAATTTAATGTGAATGCAGAAATAAGTTAGTAGCAAATGAGAATGGGTACTGTGGTCAGAAATGGGATGTTGGCGGTATGTGTTTGAGTCATGTTGGTGAGGAAGAGCTTTCCAAAATATGTAGATAACAGACTTAGAGACAATCTGACAGATGGCATTGAAGTCTTCAGGAGAAGACTTCCTTCAACCTAATAAAGAAATAAGTATTCATAGTTCCACAAGGCAGAATTATGGTATAGAAGGAGGCTTTTCTGCCCATTTGTGCCTGATGGAATACTCCATCTCTGTTTTCGATTATTTTTAACCAATCTATTCACACAGGACTTCAGGAGAAAGGATTTAAATGATTATTGTTATTTGGAGACAAGGAGACATTTCACTTATGCAGTGATGATCATGAATGCACTGCCTGAAAAGTTGATGAAAGCAGATTCAACAGTAACTTTCAAAAGGAACTGGGATATAAACTTGAAGATGATGGGGAAAGGATGGAGGAGTTGTATTAACTGGATGTTTGTTAAGAAAATATAATGGGCTGAATGGTCGCCTTTGCTGTATGGCATCTCCTATCGTATTGATCTTCAGCTTGATATTGCTCTTTCTTACTTGATGAACAGACCTTGTTTCCTCCTGTACTACTAAACTGGTTTCCATCTTGTTTCCATTCTCCCTTGATAAATTCAGTCTCTCTCTATGTTGTGAAACTTCTGAAGCCCCATGATAAGTTGTCATTATTATTCCCTTTTCACCAGGATATCCAACCCCTCTGGAACCCTACCTGTATCATCTCTGGCTTCTCCTTGAATGGCACCCTGAGCAAACCCTATCTACCAGCGAGTGCTCTCTTTAGCTGAATTTGATCTTGCTCTCGATTGCTTCACTTTGTTTCACTTTGAAAATATATTTAATGTAGAATGTCCCATTCCTGGCTCATTCCTTACCACCACCAAGCAGGAAAAATGATCACACCCTTAATTGAAGTAAATACAAGGTATTTCACTTGAAAAGCTGTGTTTGGGGCCCCAAACAATGAGAAAAATGGAAGGAAGGGTGATGCTGGAGGCATTGGAAAAGTGGTCCAGAGTCTCTTCGAGAGAAAAAAATTGCTTTGCAATTCTGATATTGGGGATGGGGTGTAGATATATTTGTGTACAATTACACTGAAGTGATGGAACTGATGCAAGATTGAATGTGGAAGGTGATAAGATGAAAGATCGTTCTGCTGATGGAGGCATCAAAGCTGATAACATATTTTGAACTGCAGTCTCTCAAACTGTTCCATTTTCTTCAACTGAGCTTTTTGCTTTTCCATGTCTCAGTTTTCAAGCTTTTGCATTCACCCACTCCTCTTCCTTTACACAATAATGACTGAGGTTTTTTTGTCCTCAGTTCATCAAATTAATTAATCACTATATCCATTTGACAGTTGCCCACCATGTCAAGCAGAATTTCATTGCCAAACACTTAGTGGCCTCCTTTTTGCTTTCCAGACAGGCTATTCTTTTGTTCATTCTGACTTTTAATGGAACAAATTCCACATGAATTCATGGTAGATACGATGACCGTCCATTTTCCTGTTCCTCACCAAGGTGATAGATTACAGATATTTCTTGCAAATCAAGCAGAACTGTGTTGGACTTCTGCAAAATACCCTTCTAAACTATTTATTCCAGGGCTGTAAAGAAGTCAGCCTGAAGAGATTTTATAAATTTTGACAAATTGCTGGTGAAACCTAGCAGGTCTGTCAGCAGCTGTGGAGAGAGAAACAGAGTTCATGTTTTGAGTCCAGTGTGAGTTGCCTTCAGAACTGTTCTCAAGAAGTGTTACACTAGACTCAAAGCATTAACTCCATTCCTCTTTCCACAGCTGTTGACAGACCTGCTGAGGGCCTCCAGAAACTTGTTTTTATTTCAGATTTCCAGCATTTGCAGTATTTTGTTTTTACTATAAATTTAGACTTTATGTTGTTACCCTGTGAACAGTTTGGTTTCTGTGAAGACTTGAAATTGTATCACTTTATCTTAAAATACCCTAACTTTTATTTATTTTGAAATATTCTCAACTTCATAAAATTCACAATAATAAGCTTTAAATATTAGAGTTGTGATTTGAAACTATCTTATGCGGAGTCTTCAAGCTGAAATCTGCAAAGACTATTTGCAGAGATTTCTTGTGTCAATTTGCTGTAAAAATACAGACATTTATTTTTAATTTCCACCTCATGTCTATTCATGAAGATCCCATAAATGGTCATTCCCACTACCCTTGTAACTTAATGATTGCAATACTTCCTCCTGCACATGGTATTGGCTTTATAAATGCAATGTTTTTAGAAGTAGGAGTTCTGCCTGTTTCAATAGACATGCTGTCAAAACTGACGTTATTTATAGTTACAGCAAAATAAATCTACTTGTTCAAACAGAAATCCTCCAACTCTAGCTAGTAGAGGATTTTCAATACAATCAGTTTTTTTTTTTAGGTACTACACACGGAATGTATTTTTTTGATCATTTTTCTAAACCAAAACTTATTGCTTGTTGAGAACTTCAACAGAGTCAAGTGTATTGACTTGGTCAGTGTGACTTTGTGTCTTTCTCAGACTGTTTTTCCTTCTCCACGTTGGCATAGCGAAACTTTCATTCTGTTCAAACTGGTTCTAAAAATAAAATTGTTTATCCGTGGAAAAGAATTAAACCCTACAAGTCTTCTGATTAAGACTTCCTTGCAACATGGCTGTCCAAAGTTTGAAAGTTGGAAGAGTGTGTGTGAGCTGGAAAGAGGGGAAGGGAGAGAAATAGTGAACCGCAAGGGAGAGGAAGAAGTAACAATTGGAGGTGGAGAGGAAAAAAACTATTCAGTGAATGAAGAACTTCCTTAGAAATATGAATTTGCTGTGGTGAGTTAGAAGGCATAGATTTAATATAATTTGTAGAAGGGAGTAGAGCATTCTTTTCCACCCAGAGGATGAGGGGTCTGGAAATAATTGACTGAAAACTTGGAAGAGGCAGGAATCGTATTTAAAAAGTACTTAATGTTTAGTTGAAGCGCCGTAACCTGCAATGCTGCCTGGATCATGAACAGGATTAGGTTGGACAGCTCTTTTGCAGCTCGTACAGACCTGATGAACCAAATAGTCTTCTCCTGCACTGCAAGTTTCTGAGATTGCATTTGAAAATAAAACTGCACCTCTTCACTGGAAAGGATAGCCATATAAATGTAAAGCTAGCAGAGTGATTTTCAGAGTTCCCGCAGTTGCCTGTGCTCTTTGTGCCATTTCAACCAGTGAAACTGAATCAAGAACATACCATAATTAGCTTGCTTAAGTTCATGAAAATTGGATTGGATGGAAATATTTGGAATGAATCCTACTCCTTGGTTCACAGGTGGTATTTGTCTTGGTTAGGAAACACTGATTTCACTTTTTGAGTATTTGATTGTGTTACTTGTCCTGATGCTTCAGTGTTCCATTGCTGGAAATTCTGGGTTGTTAATGAGACTAAGCTAAGGCCTCACCTGCCTGTTTGGGTAATGTAAAAGATACTGAGGCACTTCTCTGAAGAATGAGTTATTTTTCTAGCCAATGTTCATTGCACCATGATCACCTTGAAAGCAAAATAGTTGGTCATTTGTGGCCCTTGCTATTTGTGAAATGTGTTGTTATACATTAATTTGTTGCTATTGTTACCAAACAATTGACTTCCAACAAAATTAATTCATTTTGATACATCATGAAGGTGTGAACAATTGTATGTAACTGTCAGTTTGTTCTCTCTGACTTTAATTGCAATATAAATTGCTCAGTTGTCAATCCTTTGTCAGAACACAGGATTTTGACAAAAGATCTATTTCTGTGTTGTTAATCTGTCTTTTTCAATTCATATTTTTCATGGAATTCTGTGTATATTCAGATTTTAAAATTTATTTTAAGGCAGTTTCTTCTTTCATTTTATTACATCATTCCTGTCCTCTAATGGTAACTATATGAATCTGGCATTGTTATTTAGTTTACCTTTCTATGCTGAAAGACAGTTTTATGGGAGTAATCATTGGCATCATTGATGTGATATACTGTGTTTGCAATATTGAGTGTTTTCTTTTTGTATTAGATTCACAGGAGTAAAAACAAGTGGAAATTCTATCTTAAAGATGGAATAATGACCTTCAATGGGAGGGATTATGTGTTCTCTAAAGCTGTCGGGGACGCAGAATGGTAGAAGTGAAAACGCTGACTTAAACAAGTGCCTAATCCATTATGGGAGATCTTTTCAAATGATTTGTGTGGATTGATGGCTTCTCACTGATGTGCCCAAGGACTAATTCATAACAAATGTTGGTACAAGTTATCCTCTGTTTTCATTGACGTTTCACATACTTGTGATATAATTCATCAGGACCTGTTATGATGCAAGTTCTTTCAAAACAGAAGTTATTTAACTGGCTAATAATGATACTTAAAAAAAACTTGAAGTTGAGTAAAGATACTAATTATATGTCTAAATATAATTTATGTTGCAGGAAACTTTATTTCAATATGGAAAATAAAATTATTATGCAAAATATAACTCTTGAGGATGTAAAATGAAAATGCACACAAGCACAAGTAGAAAGATGTTGCCTACTGTATAAAGGTTTGGTTCAAATTGGGCAAAAAACTTGAGTAATTACTTTATGGACTAGTTTCACCAGATAAACAACTGTTATGTAACACTAAATACTGATTATACCCAATAAATTGGTATCCTAGTAATGGAGAGCAAATGCATAAAGGAAACATAGTGTGGGGCTCTGTTCCTCGTGTACTTGGCTTGTTTGCTTTATGGAGATAAATAGCAATAATTTACTTTTTTGTTCAGGCCAGTTCTACTGTCCCATGTACTACAGTCACTCACATTAATTTTCTTTTTGCCATAAATCTAAAACTGATTATTCTTTTCACATGGTACACTGTTTAAAAGGAAATCCACAACCTATCAAGTAGGTTTTCACACTATATAATGTTCATTGATATCTTTGCATGTAATGCTCATTTGCAAATACTTAAAGTTCCTGGGAAATTTCACTTTGAGTGTCTGTGAATTTCTGATATTCTAAGGGTATAAACCCTCTTTTTTCAAATTAGCATTTTCACTTGTCCAGTCCACTCCATCTTTAAGTCTTACTGGGTCCTGCAGACAGAGAGGCACAAATTGGTGTCTGAGTTGGCTGCAAAGAGGAAGGAAGCTAACAGTCAAAGTCTGTTTTCCCTTTACATTTTCAGTTTTATTTGGTGATGCCTTTCTAAACATTTCCACAATGTGGCAGAGATTGGTATATTGCTGATACGGCATGACTTGAGGTTCCATTGTTCATTGCACTGCATGTTGTTGCTTCACGATATTGGAACATACATGGTTCATAGAATGCTTAGAATATACTTGCTTATTTCCTTGTATTTTTAAATTTAAAACAACAGTAGCTCAAATAAAAAAAACATGTAATTTGAGAAGGGATGCGTGCATATTGATTGTGTACTATATACTATTGTCCACCATTTTTGTCCCAAGTTCACAGATATTAATGTTATCATTATTTTTGTTTTGGTGTATTAGTTGAGAACCAATTGTAAATTGTCCTAAAGAGAAACACAAAAGAGAAAGGATATGTTATATATTTTTGTTCCATTTTAGTGAGCAATGTATTCAAATCTCATTGTTCATTGTAATGAATGTAATAAATTCAGGAAATCTTCTGACTAAACTTATGAATTAAATTTGTCTTGAGTTTGAGGTATTGCATTTTTTTATCTGTTTAATTTTGAGTAAAGACCAGCTTGGCTGGGTAGTGGCGTGGATTAACACCCTTGGCTCTATTGCTGGGATATAGGTCAATTCCAGCTCAACGTTATCATAACATCTTAAGAATTGACTGTATTGTTTGGGACATTTAAGTTGATCCACTTCTTTGAGACCACGTACCATTTGTAATGTTATTGGCTTGATCCAATTTATTCAGTCTGCTGAAGGAGATGATTAACCATGGATAAAACATTCAAGAAGAAAATGTTCTGAAATTAGCCACTAACCTGCTCAATAATCTTGTGAACTTCAGTGAATCAATTTATCTGACATTACAGCCAGCAGTGTTGGAGCCATAATGTTCTGTACAGCTGATAATCTATATTTATAGTTCAATTCTAATCTTAACCAGATATTCGTGTAGGTTTCTTTGTTCAAGTCTAATCTTTAAGGCAGTTAATTCCACATATCCTTGTACAGTTAATGGCAGGACTTTTAAAGAGCATTGATATACAGAGGGATCTTGGGGTTCAAATCCATCGCTCCCTGAAAGTGGCAACACCAGTGAATAAGGTGGTAAAGAAGGCATATGGCATGCTTGCTTCATCAGTCAGGGCATTGAGTATAAAAAATTTGGCACGTCATGTTACATGGGGAAGATCTTTCTCCTATTCTTTGGTCTTGGCTGAGGCTTGTTAATATTGTACTTTTGTTCTTCAGTCAATTTAAGTTAAAGTTAGATCATTTGCTTTGTTCCTTTCCTCGTGTGCGAGCCAAAGTCGCAGAATTGTTCAGTTCACTCTTCCCTAAACCACTAATTGCAGGATAAACTGCACAGATTAAAGTAGCTTTGCTATAAAATGATATTGAGATGCACTAAGTATTTGATGAACTTCAGTGATAGCAGGCTCTCACAAAGGCTGATATGTCCACATTTCCTTTTTTTTTCCCAGTAGGCACTCATCCATTCTGTTAGATTTCCCGTGAAAATACATTCTTAAATTACGGGCAGAGTTAGCCACTTAGTCATAGTGAAGGAGACTTCACCTGAGTGAGACAAAGTGACTGGGAACCAAAAGAGGACAGTAGAGGAGGATACCAGGGTTCACAAAATAATTGGGGGTACAACTGGCATTAGCATGGAAAATAGCAGTTTAATTAGTGAAGTCAGAGTAAGAGAGAAAGAAGTGACATCCAAACCACAGTTAACATGCAAGTATCTAAACGCACAGAGTATGGTAAAAATGGATGGAGAGATACAAATGTAGATAGGCATGTGGAAGTAAGGTATTGTGGCAAGATGTGGATCAAGGAAGATCAAGAATGGAAGTTAAATATTCCAATGTGTCATTATTCAGAAAAGATGAAAAAAAGGAAGGAAAGGAGAAGGGATAGCAGTATTGGTTAAGGAGGACATTGCAGTTCTGGAGACAGGATGTCCTAGTGCTGTCAAAGTCACAGTCAATTTGGTTTGAGTGAAGGAATAAAGAAAATAATTACAATTGCATTTCTTTCAGTGCCGTTGATAGACCACCAACTAGTGGAAAGGATATAGAGGAACAAATCCTGCAGGGAAATTGAAGAGAAATGCCAACCTTGTAGAATAGCTATAATGCAGGACTTCAATTAGCTAAATATGGGCTAAGATATTGGTAGTGTAAGGTGCAGCAAAGGTCAAGTGTTGTTAGGTTTTCCTACTACAGTATATGTCCAGTCCATCAAGTAAGGATGCATTATTAGACTGGTTCCTTAGAAATGATTGGGTCAAGTGGATCAACTGTTAGTGGGGAAATGGGAGACAGTGATCATTGTATCATAAAGTTCAGGATGGTGGTGGCAAATTACAAGCAACAATCCAGAGTAAGAAAAATCAATTGGTAGACAGCTGACTTCAATAGGCCAAGAACAGAGCTGGGCAAGAATAAGGGATTGGTGGGAAAAACAGTAACTGAACAATGGGCTAATTTCAAAGAGCAGTGGTTCAGGTATAGTCGAGGTATGTTCTATCAAAAGGGAAAGTTGGGACAAACCAATCCGGAGTTCCCTGTGTGCCAAAGGAAGCAGAAATTAACATTAGAAAGAAAGGGTAATCAAAGAGACTTGGGGTTCAGTTATATATATCATTAATGTGTCATAAACAAGTGCAGAAAACTATCAAGAAAGCTTGTGGATTGCTGGCCTTAATATCTCAAGGACCGGAGTAAAAAGATGCAGAAGTTATGCTGCAGTTATACAGAACCCTGGTTACGTGTTCCCCCCCCACCCCCAGCCTCCCAGAGCACTGTGAGCAGATCTCCGCGCCACACCTTAGGAAGGATACATTGGCCCTGGAGGGAGTGCCATGTAGGCTTACAAGAATGATACCTGGACTTCAGCAGTTAAGTTATGAGAAGAGATTATACAAATTAGGTCTGTTTTCTCTGGAATTTCGAAGGTTTAAGGGGTGACTTGATTTAAGTCTTCAAGATATTAACAGGAAAAGACAGGGTAGATAAAGATATATTATTTCCATTGGTTGAAGATTCTAGAACTAGGGTGCATAATCTGAGAATTAGGGCCAGACCATGCAAAAGAGATGTTAGGAAGCACTTCAACTGACAAAGGATGTTAGATGTTTGGAACTGTCTTCCATAAACAGAAGTGGATGCTGGATCATGTGTTAATTTAAAATCTGTGATAGATAACGTTTTGTTAAGCAAAGATACTTAAGGGAAATGGGCCAAAGGCAGATATATGAAGTAAGGCGATAGATCAGCAACGATCTCACTAAATGGTGGAACAGGCTCGAGGGGCTGAATGGCATATTCCTTATAAGGCAGTACTATGTCTTTAGGAGAGATTTGTTCTACGTTGTTTCTCTTGCAGAGAGGTATTGTCACAGTGGTATTGAAATGTCTGCTTCAGAAGCAGTGTGTAAACAGCTTTGAGCTCCCTGAGTATTTTATTAAAATTAGACCAAAAAAAAACATGACTGGGTAGAGCCAGGCTTTCTCAGATCCAAGTTTTTAATATTGCTTTCAGTTGGGGTTTGGAATTAGCTGTTGAAGCTGATAGATACAGCTCACTTTCTCTTTGAGGCAGCAAAAAGCTTGAGTTCTCTCTCTGTTGCTAGCTTGTTTCTTTTGGTGTCTCTTTCTCCTGGACTTGAAGGAAGATAGCACATAAGAAAATCTGTTTTGCTGAATATGCCTTTGCCAAGGGTGTGTTTATGGGATGCTGCTGTATTGGAATAGTTGATGGTTAGTAGTTAAATAATATATTATTTTGTTAAGTATTTTGATTGAGTTAAAGTTATGCCACTTCTTTTTTGTTTGTGTTTTAACTGTGTTGTAAGAATAAAGTGTGTTTTACCTAAAACCTGGTAGTAGACCAATCAAATGACATCTGGAACACAGCACCTTACACGTACCTTTAACTAAAATAAAAGTTAGGGTCTAGGCTATCTCCTTTATATATTTTGAGAGGGTTTTGTCTGGTCCATAACACTGTTCCTATTTTCCTTATGACGTGTAAATAGAAAATATAGTTAATAACCAAGAGTAATGCCGAAGGTTCAGAGGAGAGATGAATAGCAGATAAAAAGCAAGGAGGAATTATGAGAAAAGACCAGCAGATAATTTAAAAGGGAATCCCAAAGTCTTCTATAGGCATATAACTGATAAGAGAATGGTTAGAGGAGGACTACTAATTAGAATCTGAGAAGGCATTTTACACGTGGGGTATAGCTGAGGTGTTAAATGAGTACTTTGCATGTCTCTTTACAAAAGAGGAGGATGCTTTTCAGTCTATGGTAAGTGTCACTAGTTTTCAGAATTAAAATGGAGGAAGCCTTAGACCGTTTGTACTTAAAATTGACAAGGCACCAGAATGGATAAGATGCATCCAAGGATTTTGAAGTGAGTAGAGATTGAGGGGCACTGGTCATAATCTTTCAATCTTCCCTGATGAAGTAATACCAGAAGACTGGAGGATTGGAAACATTACAGTCTTGTTCAAGAAAGGTTGTAAGGTTAATCCCAGCAATTACAGACCATTCAGTTTAACTTTGGTGTGGAAACATCTAGAGACAATTATTTGGGATAGAATTTTCACACAGCAAGTAGTTAGGGTATGGAATGTACTGTCTGGAAATATGGCAGAAGCAGATTCGATTGAGGCATTCAAGGGGGCACAGGATGATTATTTAGATAGACGTGGAATGCAAGGATATCGGGAAGAGGCGGGAGATTGGCACTGATTGGTAATGAGACTCATTTGAAGAGCTGATACAGGCACATTGTGCCAAATGGTCTTGTTCTGTGCTGTAACATCTTTGTGATTCTGAGTGTCTGGGAATTTAGGTCAAAATGGGAATGTAGAGTAGAGAGGAAGGAGATAGTTTCATTAAAGATTACTGCAAGAAATAAAATCTTCAGAGCAAGAGGTGAACTGAAGAAGAAATGAGGCATGGATTGCGAGTTAATGTACACTGAGACCAATGGTATCACAATTACAGGGAAAACATTTGATTGGTGAGTAGGATTGGCTGTATTTTTATTCTTTTTAGTGAAAGATGGGTGTTTAGTTTGTGTTTGTCTCTACTCTTCTTTTTCCTCTTGTTTTTCAGAGAAACAGCTTAAGTTTTCACAGTAAATTTATGTTTATTCTAAGGGTAACAATAGTTTGAGTTATGACATGGCAGGTCAGAAGGACATACCATGTGCCCCAGACACACACACCAGAAAGTGTCACTGCCTGCACAAGTTTGAGCTCAAGGATTTGGAACTTGAGCAGCTGCCAGAGTTGCTGTTGTCATCTGCAAGGCGTAGAATGCATACGGAGGTGGTCACACCAGGAATTAGAAGCGTGCAGGCAGAAAG